ATAGACATAACAAAAACATACTTACCTGCACACACGAGTATAATTTTCGAAAGTTTTAGATTTCCCTAAGGGAGGTGGGAGTCGTTCCCTCCCAGCGCACCGAACCCACTGCCACATCAATTTTTGTCTCTTCTTTTTCTTCATTTTTTTCAACCCACAACACACGAAAATCCTATTTTTTTAAACCCACTTAACACACTTAATTAAAAAAAAAAAAATACAAAACAATCAAGGTATAACTTTTAAAACACATGGTACAAGAGAAAATAAGAAAGAGAAAGTAGAGAGAGATGATGAAGTGAGTTAGTGAAACCAATAAACCCATTCGTTGAATCGGGAGTGGTACTACCGATAACTCTATTGCTAATTAAGATTTTACCTTTGATTGTTTTGTATTTTTTTTTAATTGAGTGAGTTGAGAGGGTTCAAAAAGCTAGGGTTTCCGTGGGTTGTAGGTTGGTAAAGATGAAGAAAAATAAAAGAGAAAAAATAATGTGACAGTGGCTTCAGTGAATTCGAAGGGAATGACTTCTTTCTCCCTAACTTATTTTACAACATCATCGTAGATCAGCTTTAGGCCCAATATAATGATTTGGCACAATACATAATTAATACGGATGAATTCTGCAAGATGGTCGATACATGTTTAAATTATTCCAGTTTTTTTCTTTTTCAATTTGGATGCGTGTAGATGATGTACTAGTTACAACAAGTTATTAATTTTTAGTATGATGAAAGGGTGAGATTTTTTTTAGAATGATAGCATTTTATATAAAAAAAAACTAGCATAAGGCTTAGATGGAGAAATTACATAAAGAAAGTGTCCGAAAATGATTTTTCATCCAACTGACCCATTTAGCACAAAACTTAGAATTTCTAACATTTATTCACATAAAAGACTATGACTGAATGAAATCCCATAAATTCACCTTAGTAGCATCTGTTTATTCCGAAAAATCCAAATCATCCAAAATAGCACCAAACCAACAACATCCAAACAACTTCTAATCAAAGTAGTCAACCGGGCATAATCAAGCCAAGACAACTACTAAGAAATAGAAGAAAAAACTGGTAAATCAATCTCCAACCACCTGGCTAAAGCCCCCATAAATATAATGCCATATCGCAAGCGAAGAAGAGATGATTAATAGTCTCTACGTCTGAATCACAAATACCACAGAAGACAGATTCAATGTGAATGCCTCTTCTATCCAAATTAATTCTAGTAGGAATCTTATTCAAAGCCAACCTCCAGGAAAAAAAAAACGATTTCACCTAGTTGGGAGTTCGAAGCTAATTAGCCTAAAGTCAGAAACAAACTTAGGATCAAATATCTTAGGAATAGAAACAATATAGGAAGGATTGCAACCTATAGGAAAGGAAGCATAGACATAAAAATCTTGCACTAAACGAATCACATTTTCTCCAATAGTCGACCAAAATTCCTTGAAAAAAGCAAAAATGAATCCATCGGGTCTTGGTGCTCGATCACCACCACTATCCCAAACAACACGTTTAATCTCATCATATGAAAACGCAACCTCAAAGGTAATCAAATTCTCTATAGATAATCTCTTAGGCATATTGACCACATAAAAGGAGCAAAACGACGCTTAACATGTTCAAAAAAATATGTTTTAACAAGGTTCGGTTCCTCAATCCAAGAACCATCTTTCAAGACACCTTTAATCGCCATGTGTCTATGTTTTTTTATTAATCATTGGTGGGATGTCAAGTCCACCAAGAAAATTACACCCTTTGTTTGCAAATAAAATAAAATATAATGGTAAAAGGGGGTATCGATGCTCGGGGAAACGGTTGTATTCAATCACCAATGCAATCTAAAAGAACTAGTGTAAATAAACTAATTAACTACAATTAAACTAAAAGATGCTGGGGGGGGGGGGGTATAATTGCTTGAAAACTAAAATACTTGAATAACTAGAAAACTTGCAGTTAAGCAAGGTGATGAGATGCTCAAATATTGGAGAGAATTGGTAAACTAAGGGAATTCAACACAATGAACATTTGTGTGTTTATCATTCATCCGAAATTGGTTATAGCAATCATGAAGCATGATATGCCAAGATTCCTCATAAGTTATATGGAGGTTGGGGAAGCCCACAACACACATTCTTAATCAAAATCAAAGATCCAATTGAAGCAAGTGAACCCAAGAAGTTGATTAGCCTTAAGAATGAAGGAATCCCCAATTCCTAGAGGATGTCAATGCTTACACATTCATAAAGGAGTTATGATTCATAAGCTAGAGATAATTTCTACCATCATAAAGTCCTTATTCAAAGTAAAATACAATGATTCAATGCCAAACCAAATAAATAAACCAACAATTGCTTATTAAATTACCAAGCTCATGATCAAAGCATTAAACAAACATAGAAAATATGAACTAGAATCATCGACACAAGATAAATGATAAATAAGCATAAATCCTTCAAAAACCCACAAACATTCAAAGGTTTTAGCCAAGGTCTACCAAAATAGAGGATTTAGCCACTTATGGGAATAATATAACAACCACAAAAGTCTAATTGCATAAAGAAACTACCAATAACTTGGAAAGATGAAAAGAAATGAGTTTCAAGCTCCAAAATCGCCTTCTTATGGTCTCCAATGGTGTAAAATCGAAGTGATAGCTAATACATCCAATCCCCCAAGGTAATGACAAGCCAAATGACTAAAATGCCCAAAACTAGGCAGGTACATGGCTACACGCGCGACAGAGATTCCACCCGTGCAAGTACTGCTAGAATGCTATTGACTCATTTTTCCTCCACTAACGATCCCACTACCAAAGATTCATTTGTTCCCCTCCATATCCCACATGATTCAAACTAACCAATTATCTTTTAGTTTCAAATATGGATGCTCCAAGCCCAAATTAACAATCAATGATCCATCTTCACAAGCCCACTTCATCCAAGTCTTTTGCTGTTTAAGCCCAAATTTCCTTTAATGGATCCATAAAGCCCAATAATGCCTCGGAAGCCCACAAAGCCCATTCCAAGCTAATCTACAACCGCAACAAGATCCAAAACCCTACAAAATACCTCATGCAACATAAAAAGTCGCTGGTATGATCCATAGTAAAGAAAATAAATAAAATACAATGCAGTAATGATAAAAAGATCTAATAATCTAAAATAAACTAATAAAAATAAGGAAATAATATAAGCTATCATATCACCCCAAGCTTAAACCTAACTTGTCCTCAAGTTAGAACAAGCCTAAAATGAGCTCAAGATGAGCTAAACTAAAAAGGAAAAAAGAAAGATTCCATAGAACTTTGTCAACATTAGTCAACATGGTCATAATTAGTCTTTCATGGAGCCTACTCATCTTCAAAATGTTCCCCGATTTAGAACCATAAACCACATTCTCAACCACTTGATCGGCGAATAGATCACAGTTGGATATAGTCGCGGTGTGCAAGACAAAGGAAACAGAGGATGCGCCTAGAGGGGGCACTTTAATTCACCAATGTAGACCATAATGCAAGAAGGAAACACGCCTCTTCACACACTATGATTCTTATATTTTTCAGGCTAAAGTGTATAGTACGAAATAGGGTTTTGCAGCCCGACCTTTGGGCAAACATTTGGTTTTAGAGGCTACTCCCTTGTACTATCCTTTACAATCTACCGTCTCATTGTCATATACTTTTCTCACCAAAAATCAAAAATAAAATAAAATAATTAAAATTCTACTCATCGTAAACCTAAATCTAACAACTTAAATCTTCAATCTTGAACTTTTGTTATTTGGTCTTCAGCCTCTTTGTAGCTTGATCTTTTTTTATTAATATAAATGATAGTCTTGAGCTTGGATTCTTGTTCTTCTTTTTGTGTTGCTCTTTTTCTTTATTTTTTCTTCTTTGTTTTTGTTTCTTTTCTTTAATCTTCTTCATTGTTTCTTTTTGTCTTCACTTTTTCAAGTTCTTCATTTTTTTGTGTTTTCTTGTTGGAAGGTTTAAGGAATTTCACCATGTAACATATGATGGAGTCTAACATGAACACCTAATGATCATTGGCAATGTGCCAATATAAACTAAAAAGGGTGGGATATGACTCAAAAATGGGTGTTACCGAAAAAATTTGGTCCTAAAAGATGTGAATTGGGGGACCCACTTCAAAGTTCATCAAGCACCTCGATGCAAGGTGTGATAAACAAAATCTATCTAACTATCTACTCTAGATCCCTAGAAAAATGATGACCTATCCTAAAAAGGTAGTGAGAATCTAACTAAGCAAGGCTCATATGAGACTTGGGAGTACTAAGGGGTACTCGCCCCAAAACTAAGATGCGAGTCTTCAATGTCTTCAAAATACCTTACTGGGCTAATCTTTGCTCGTACACGTCGGTTTGACCAACCACATCCCTTCGCACCTAGACCCAATCAAGCTACCTGCATCTGACACACAAACAAGCGGTCTCAAAGTGGTCTATGAGGCTTAAAATGTGTCCCATTTATCCAATACAAGGAATTCCATATCAAGACCTGGGACCAATCTATGATTCAGTACTTATGACTCGGTGCTATGGTACCTATAGGGATGAGAAGACAGGTGAGAAAAAAAATGCATGAACTTAAACTATAATGCATCTGAAAAATATGAAAATTAGAAAAGAAAGAAGGAAAATATGCAATATTTTTGGATTTTTTTTTCAATTTTTATGAATGACCTAAATGACTTACTCTAAATGCAACTATATATATAACCTAAATACAATAAAAAAATAGAAGATAAAGAATACCTCACCCCAAGCTTAAAATTAAGCATTGTCCTCAATGCTTAGGACGAGAATAAAGAAGGATCATATTGGGATCAAGGTGGAGGAGGCCCACGAGGGCAGTAACCGCCTTCGGGCGTAAAATAATGCCAAAGATCCTCCATGTAGTTGTTGGTGCGAGCTTGCTGCTTCTCGATGCGCCATATGGATGGTGTACTTTGGTTGCCATGGAGGTGCATGGTGGCAAGCTAACTGTATATATCAAGAGGAAAGTCGGGTTCCGGCTCGGGATCGTTGTGTTGTGGATAGCAATGATACTCATGTTGTGGCTCGAAGTGTACTCCTAAAGGCTGACCATAAAAGGGTGGTGGCAATTGTCTGATTAGGAGGTCATAATGGTCTTTGGCCTCAAATGGACTATCAGGATTGGCATTGTCAACCTGTATTTCATCATTTGTTGTAGTATCATCATCATGTAACTCTTCAGGCAAGAACCAAGTTTCGGGGTCGCTAGTGGAAAAGGCGGATATGCTTATATTAGGTAAGGTATAAACTGGTTGCTTGACGTGGTTGAGCCAGGAGTAATGATGATTGTTGATAGGCACCAATAATTCCATCTTAGTGAGAGCGATGCAGTCGAGGAGGTAGAGAGGTGGGTCGTCCACTGGTACATACTCAGACTCGAGAAATTGAAGGCCCACACCCAAACCAATAAGGGTAATGAGACCTCCAATGCAAATGTCACCAGTGGTCTTCGTGCGTATGCTGTGACACTTATCCAAGAAAAAGGTTGCGAAACCGGGGTAAGACCAACAGTGGCTAGTCATGCAATAGAGGAAATATAGCTCAGATGTGTTTATTTGGCCCAACTTGTGGCGACCAAAGATGGAAGTTGAAAGGATCTGGTGGGCGATTCTACAACAAGGATGGATGATGTAAGGATCTTTCTGTCAACTTGGATTGACGTTTGGAAGACTAGTGATTTGAGTCCAAAACTCTACTTTGGGCATGCTCTTGAATTGTGTCCATTGATAACTATACATGCCGGTGTTGTACATATCGTATGTGCCCATGATAGTGTTGAGGTTTTCGTATGTGAGTTAGTGGTGCCGACCCTGGAGTTTAAATGTGAGCACTTCCTTTGTGTCGTCCCGCACATAAGTGGAAAGGAACTCAAGTGTGGGTTTCTTGTATATGCGCACGGAAAGAGCTAGGAAATCCTACCAACTTATGTTGAAGAACAGTTGTTGCAAGCAATCATCAAGGCCAAGGTTGATCATCGACTCCTGGTGGTAAAATTTTGTTGCTCGTATCGCACGTTTTTGGAGGTTGGACTTGAATTGCTTGATTTGTGTACTAGTGAGGGTTAGGTTACCATCATGATCTACATGCTTGGTAGACAGTTTTTTTGTTGATCGTGATGATTGAGCTTCACGGGAAGATCCATGATATGCGTGAATGGTTTTGTTCTTTCCCATTGCACATGTTAAGATAACCTAGCAAAGACAAAAACTTGGGCAAAATTATCTCTCACCCTCGCCTCACACCAATCCAATAAAAATAAAAACTGGGCAAATACTCCAAACTTGCAATTTGGCACAATTAAATACAAGGTAATCTAATTAATTCCAAAGCAAAGCAATTCTAATTTAACCTAATTCGTAACATAAGACTAGACAAATTAGAAATGAAATGCAATCAAAATTAAAAGAAATTTACCAAATCCGAGTGTTGAAACCCGAAAATAAAACCGCTAAAACCTCACCCCAAGCTTGAATTGGACCCATAAGGTTGAGCCTTTCTAAATCACTGGCGACAAACAAGAATTTTAAAATTTTTGGTCAAAATGAGTGGCGGCGGCGACAGACGCCGGCCGGTGGCGGAGGTAGGTTTTCTGGCGAGCTGATTTTCCCAAATTAATAGTAGATCGGTGTGTGCGGGTGTTTTTGGTGAAGAATACCCCATGAAAATTAGAATTTGATGGAAGGTGGCGGCATTATTGAGCTTTTACGATTTTCCGGCGAGTTAGGGTTGGTGCTGGTAGGCGGCTGTTCATCGGGAATAAATTAGTCTGGGGTGGTCAGAATTAGGTGGGGATGAGGATGGTGGGGATGCAACGATGGTAGCAGCAAGGAGTACGCGGTATTAGATGAGTTGCTGTTTTCCGGCGACAAGGGGGGAGGGGTTGAAACAGATTGCTGCTGGTGGTGTCTATCGGGTGTAGAGGAAGGAGGTAGGCTATGAGAGAAGGTGATGGTGAGGTCGGTGATGCCAAATAGCGGTGAAAGCAGTGGCAGCAGAGTTTTCGTTGGCGACAATCGGCTTTCATCGGGAGGGAAGGCTTTGTTCATCGGGAGCAACAAACGAGAAAAGTGGAGGTGGGGTGAGGTCTGATGGGTGAAGGGGGGGGGGGGGTATAAGGGTAGGTTAAGCTCTAGTCAGTTATTGGTTGAATAGTGGATCTGGTCTGGGTAGGGTCGAAATTTGAGTGGGTTATCGGGATATGGGCTGGTATGTTGAAGCTGATGGGTCTCGCAAGAAGGAGAAACAGTTTTTGTCTTGGCCACGCAAGGATCCGCGGTGGTGGAGTTTGGTCGCACGCAAAAATTAGAGAGGACCCCATGTGGGAGTAATTTTTGAGCTCCAAATTTACGCGTCTGGGGGTCGGCCACGCAATGGCTGCGCGGGTACCCGCATAAATTGCAGATTTTTGGTATTTTTTTCTCAAAGTTTACCAAGACCATCGCTAGGCTTCAACATGCTTATTTTTCACCAACTTCAAGCTTAGAAACACCCAAAACTTCAAGTGGAGATTAATTATTTACAATGCATTTATTTAACGTCTTTGCGAAGACATAGCCCCCCTTCCGTCAACCTTCGTAAATCGGAGTTTCCAATGTGACGTTGTCGAATTCTCCTGTGTCAAAGCCTTCATAAAATGGTTTCAAGCGATGTCCATTCACTTTAAATATTTGATTTATTTCCAAACTTTTAATTTCAACCGCACCATGTTCAAACACTTTTATAACAATAAAAGGTCCGTGCCATCGAGATCGCAACTTCCCGGGAATAACTTTGATAGCGAATGATAAAGAAGAACTTGTTGCCCCGAAATAAAATGCTTTCGAGTGATGTGCTTGTTGTAAAATGCTTTTGTCTTGTTTTTTTTATGCTTGCATTTTCATAAGCATCGTTCCTCAACTCTTCGATTTCTTGAAGTTGCATCTTTCGGTGCCTCCCGGTTTCTTCGATATTGAAGTTACACTTTTTAACCACCTAATATGTTTTGTGTTCTCCACCGGTAAATGAAAAGAATTTCCATAGATGAGGAAAAATGGAGACATGCCAATTGGAGTTTTGTAGGTGGTCCGATACACCCACAATGCATCTTCTAACTTCAAGCTCCAAACTTTTTGCGTGGTGTTAACCGTATTTTCAAGAATTTGTTTGACTTCTCGATTTGACAGTTCAGCTTGGCCGTTTGTTTGTGGATGGTAAGCGATTGATATCCATTGTGTGACACCATATCTCATCATCATGGATTCCATCATTTTATTGCAAAAATAAGTGCCCATATCACTCACCAAGGCTCTCGGTACACCATATCTTGTGAAAAGTTTGACTTCAAGAAGTCAATTACAGTTTTAGAATCATCATGCCTTGTAGCCTTTACTTACACCCACTTTGATAAGTAGTCAACCGCCAAGAGTATATAAGTATAACCGAAGGAGACGGAGAATGCGCCCATGAAGTTGATTCCCCATACTTCAAAGATATCACAAATGAGGATAGGGCTTTAAATCATATCGTGCCTTATGGATACGTTTCCATTCTTTGACATCTATCACAACTCTTGCAAAATAGATATGTATCTCTTGACGTTGTTGGCCAATAGAGTCCACATTCTAGCACCTTTCGTATGGTTTTGTTTTGACCAAAATGTCCTCTGCATGCATACTCATGGCAAAACTTCAGAATTGATTCAACCTCATTTTGATGAACACACCGCCGTATTAGTTGATCCAAACAATGTTTCCAAAGATAAGGGCCATCCCATACATAGTATTTGGAATCACTCTTCAACTTGGCTTTTTGGTATTTGGTAAATGTGTGGGGAATTTCTTTAGTAACCAAGAATGTCTGCATACCAAGGAATGGTTTTTGAAATGTAAAAGAGATGTTCATCCGTACATTCATCAAGAATGGAAGAAGAAGAACCACCAATATTCAACTGGCCTAAGTGATGCACGAATAGGTTTTCGACACCACTTTTGTCCTTAATCTCAAGATCGAATTTTTGTAGAAGAAGAATCCACTAAATTAACCGTGGCTTGGCATCTTTCTTGGTCATTATATACTTTAAGGCTGCATGGTCGGAGTATACAATCACTTTTGTCCCGAGAAGGTATTGTCGAAATTTCTCCGATGCAAAAACAATGGCTAGAAGTTCCTTCTCGGTGGTGGAATATTTGGTTGGATCATTATCCAAGGTTTTGGAGGCATAGTAGATGATGTGTGATACTTTGCCTTCGTTTTGACCCAATACCGCTCCAATGGCGAAATTGCTTGCATTACACATGCTTTCAAAGGGAAGCTCCCAATTTGGAGGTTGGATTATTGGAGTGGAGGTGGGCAAGTCTTTAAGTTTGTTAAAGGTCTCTTAACATGCTACATTGAAGTCAAAGCCAACATCTTTTTGGAGAAGGAGGCACATTGGTCTTGTGATCTTCAAGAAATCTTTGATAAATCATCTATAGAATCCAACATGGACCAAGAGAGATCTCAGTTCTCTAACACCTGTTGGGTAAGTAAGGGTTTGTATGACATCAATTTTGGCTTTATCAACTTCAATTGCCATTTTGGAGACAATGTGCCCCAAGATGACTCCTTGATTAAAATTTAACACCAACTTCTTCTCAATGCACCTTTTCAAAATCTTCTTAAGGTTATCCAAGCATTCATCAAACGAATTGCCATACACGGTGAAGTCATCCATGAACACTTCAATTATATTTTCAACGCATTCAGAGAAGATGCTCACCATACATCAGTAGAATATGGCGGGGGTATTGCATAATCCAAATGGCATCCACTTGTAGGCAAACGTGCCGAAAGGGCATGTAAAAGTCATCTTGTCTTGATCTTTGGGTGCAACGGGTATTTGATGAAAACCTGAGTATCCATCGAGGCAACAATAATGCAATTTGCCCGCCAATCTTTTGAGCATTTGGTCGATGAAAGGAAGAGCAAAATGGACTTTTCATGTGCTTGAATTCAACTTTTTGTTATCAATACACACCCTCCATCCATTTTGAACTCGAGTGGGTACCATTACTCCTTTGGTATTCTCAATAACCATGATTCCCGTTTTCTTGGGAACCACTTGGACCGGACTAACCCATTTGGAGTTGGAAATGGCGTAAATCATGTCTGCATCAAGGAGCTTGATTATCTCTTTCTTAACCACTTCCATCATTGGAGGATTTAATCTTCTTTGAGCTTCCCTCCTGGGCTTACAATCGTCTTCCATAAGGATTCTGTGAGTGCATACATTAGGACTTATCCCCTTGATGTCCACTATTATCCACTCCTTGGCATCTTTATGATCTTTCAAGACTTCAACTAATTGATCTTCTTCAAAGTCTTTCAATTGAGAAGAGATGATCACCGGGCGAGGTTCGTCTTGACCTAGATAAACATACTTCAAATGGCTAGGTAAGACTTTCAATTCAAGTGTGGGTGGTTGGATTATGGAAGGGGCATCTTGTTTAGAGAATGAGAAAAGGAAACTTGAGAGACATCCTTCTTTGTTGAATTATTAACTTCTAAAGTCTTCACAATCTCTTCAACTTCGGGGTCCAATGTATACATATCCAATGTTCTCTTCAAACGTTCACAATCAAGACTCATGTTGAGCACCATCTTTGTAATGCCTGTGTTTCTGGGCATGCCATTTTTAGCAATGTAATAGTCTAGGTTAACCTTTGTAACCCGTTTTGAAATAATAGAAGTGTATTATTTGAGTATTATGTGTTTTGTGCTTAATTGCTTAATTATGTGGTTTGATTAATTAAGAATAAAAATAAGCGTCAAAATTTAAGTGTGAAATAAACTTGATATATTTAGATAATGTTGTAGTAGTTGAAACAAGGTTTCCGAAGATATAAAGAATGCCTAAATCGGAGTTGTAACGAGGAAGTTATGACCTGTCGAAGTTTCGCGACAGAACCGGCAACACTGATTAACGTAAAAAGTGAAATTTACGTTAGAGCGATATTTAGCCTTAGTGATCTAAATGAGAATCGAAGATCTCATTGTTAGTATCAAAGTGATAAAAAGTTAGGCGAGAACGGACGTCAAATGAAGAAGTTATGAATTTCTAACGAAATTTTCTGTCCCGGCCTATTAAAAATAAATAATGAAAATAAATTCAAAATTAGCCGACGGAGTCTAAATGAAAGTTGTAGAGCGTAGTCTCACCATCGCGTGGATATAAAGAACGTCGAAAACGGAGTTCGTATGAAGGAGATATGAATTTTTGAAGTTTATTAAATAATTAATAATTAAATTTAATTATTATATCCGGCCTTATCCGAAGACGAGTCACCGGACTCATCCGGAGTATGTCCCGCGTACTCGAGTACGCCCCACATACAGCAAGAAGTGTCGACACTTCGGATGACGCATGCAGTGACGACTTTGGAGCCCTGTACGCCCCGCGTACGAGGAGGTTCCAGCCTCCTATAAATAGGATGCGAGGGGTTCGTGCATAGTTGCTCATTTCTCCTCTGTTTCGTGCCGAAGCTCTGCGTTTTTACCCCCGAAGCCACCCCGAAGCCCCGGTAATATTCCCGAGTCCCGAAGCAAGTCCCGAGATCCCGAAGATCCCGAGAAGTGCGGTTTCCGAGCTGAAGCTCTGCCCGCGAGAAGTTCGATTTTTGTAGCGATCTTCCAGATCTGCTGAGGATTACTACTTTTGCAAGTCGTAGTGCTGTCCGATCATCTTCTGATCAAGTGAGTGTATACTACCTTTCATAAACGCAATAATAATACAAGTATGGTTTGAGTGTATTAAGTATATTGTTCTTCATACGTGTAAGTGCGTTGTTACTTTCTAATAACGTATAATTATGAAGTATTTTATACGAGATACGTGTTATGTGTATATTTTGTTGTTATGTGTGTGAATGTATATTCACTTTCTTCTATCTTATAGATATGATTATTTCTATATGAAATACGTGTTATGTGTGTGTGCCTCATATGTTATATGGAAAATGTATTGATCAAGCATGGTATACAGGTTTTGAAAATATGTATAAAAATGTATGTTTTTATCTACTAATATGTT